CTGCAGCACTTCTACAGTGGAACGACGCCAGCCTATATCCGGTTTTCTTTTGGAGCAAAAAGACCACTGAGGCAGAGGTGCGTCAGCACAGCTATATTCTGGAGGCAAAAGCGATTTTCTTGGAAGTTCCGGCAGTATATATTCACGTTTATAACCGATTTCGCGGCATTCAAGCAAACGCTGTCCAAGAAAGACATACCACGTGAAGTTGCACAATGGGTCCTATACTTGGAGGACTTCGAGTATAAAGTGGAGCACAGGAGTGGAGATCGTCTAAGGCATGTCTTTTGTCTGAGTTGCTGTTGTGTATAACAAGTAATAGTGATCACGTCAGAAGTCTCAGCGCGTATTAAAGCAGCTCAACAAAAGGATTGTATGATTAAAGCTATTTTTGATTGATTGATTTTGATTTGATCCTAAGCAGGCCCTATGACATTTTTAAAGTCAAAGGAGGATTGCTGCTGAATCAGTAGAAGGTACTGATCTGCTGGTTATACCGAAGTCAATGGAGCGAGAAATAATTGTCGACGCTCACAATGTTGGGCACTGTTCAGAAGACAATGCACTTGATTAAGCAAAGTTTCTGGATACCACATTTAGAAGGAAAAGTTGCTCATATTATCACCAATTGTATTAACAGTTGGGTAAAAAGGAAGGCTTTCTTCATCCCGTCGAGAAGGGAGGAGAGCCATTGCACACATTGCATGTAGACCATCTCGGACCTATGGACGCCACAGCGAAGCAATACAAATACATTTTTGCTATAGTCGACGCATTTACGTAGTTTGTATGGATGTATCCGACAAAGACAACAAGCTGCGAAAGTTCTGAAAAAGATGGACAGTTGGTCGGAAATCTTCGGTAATCCCAGTCGCATCATCAGTGACCGAGGGTCTGCGTTTACATCTTCAGCTTTCGAGGAGTACACGAGCAAAAATAATATCGAGCACGTTTGGAGCACCATCGGAGTGCCAAGAGGAAATGGCCAAGTAAAACGCGTTAACCGGTCGATACTCCAAATCATATCCAAGCTGTTATCAGAGAGTCCTGAAAATGGTTTAAGCTTGTGGCTGGGAAGGCAGGATAGTGAGAATGAGATATCACCTAGAAGCAGCATCGCCATAAGTACTTGGTACTCATTTCGGTTTAAAGAAGTTAGTAGAAAATGTGAGTAGTAGTCAGTTGTCAACCGCACGTTGAACACAGTCGTCAGCCGAACATTGAGAAGCAGAAGGCAGCAGTCTAAGCAGAGAAGCCGTTAGAAATGTCAGCAGTCAGCCGTCGAAGCAGAGAACATAAGATGCATACGCCGATATTAGCGTCCATATATTTCTATTTAAAACTATATTATATATCTTGGTACCGCTATTATATATCATATAATGTTTATATATGATATTTTGGTGCACGAAAAATGGTAAGCGTTAAAAAGCTGCAAAAAGTGTGGGTGAGCACCAAGAAGTGGTTTTAGAAAATTAGAGATCCGATTAATTTTAAGCTTGGTTAATGTATTTACTCTGAGAAAGAATACAAGATAAACTGCGTTCTATTTTTGTAACTTTTCATTAAAGAGTAGTAGAAATAAATTTGATATACATATATAGTGATGGAAAAAATAATAGAAACGACATTCCACTAAAATCTCCAGTCCTCAATTTCTGGGAAAATTCTATGGGTTTCTTCTACTATGCACGATAATTGATTGAATATACTTCATCGCAGAAATATTTGCTGTGTTGGTGACTACGTTTTTGGGTTGAAAAAAAAAATATAAACGCATATACTTTTTGAAATAATATTGCATTGTAAAGCGCCCATTAAACTTATTTTAACATTATAAGTAAAGGGTAAGCTCAAAATAACAATTGTTTTAAAATTTACCTCTTAATATTGGTATAAAGATAAGAATAGGTCGGGGATATCATTTCGCAGCTACGAAAAAGGAAAACATAATTAAGCTCAAAAATAAAGTAAATGGCTGTAATTGCACTGAACTAAAAACAAGAGAGAACGCTACAGTCGAGCAAGCCCGACAGTAAAATAGCCTGTACTCTCCACGAAAAAGGATTAAAAAATCAGATTAAAAAATAAACTTGACCTGCCTAGGGCTTAAGGGAATGTGGATACCAAGTTCGGTTATTCTAGCTCTTGTACTTCCTGAGATCCTTGCGCTCATACTACTCATGGCTATATCGACTCGGCTTGTCACCCTGATCAAGAATAAATATACTTTGTGGGGTCTACCACGCCTCCTTCTGTGTATTACATACATTCGCACAAAACTAGTGTAGCCTTTTAGCCTTTGGGTACAGGCTATAAAAAGGTATTTTTGCTGTACATTTTGAATAAAAACGAGGTAAAAAGCAAGCTAAGTCTAAAAAATTTCACGAACTTCTTTTACGGCAGTCCTAAAAAAACCAGGATTTTTTTATCAGAACATCTATGAAAGCAGTTAAATAGACCTGTTTATAGTCGTACAATAATAAATAGGCTAATAGACTTATAAAGAAAAAAATTCCGAGATCGCATTATTTTTCCAAAAGGCATGTACTCCGAGAAAATTGCAAAACCATGATCCATGGTGGTGTCAACATGTGTCTATGAGGATGTTTGCATTGTTTTGGCTGTTGGTCAAATATTATGGTTTAAGGGCGAAATCTGTTCTATGGATTACGTTATATACTTAACAGCATATTGCTTCCATATTCTGAGGAAGTGTGTGAGTTTTTTCAATATAATGAACCTAAACACACTTGGCAGCTTGCAAATAAGGTTCCATGAAATCAAACGTTCTTTGATGGAACTAATTTCACAATCATCCGACCTGAATCACATAGAGCACCTATGGAGGATATTAATAAAGAATATTTTTGGGCATAAGTCCAAAAACAGAGACGACTATGCAAAAAAAATGCAGAACGTATGATACGCCATTGATCCCCCACAACTTGTTCCAAACTGGCGCAATCTATGGGTCATCCGGGCACAGAAGCTTTCAAAAATTATGGTGGCACTACCAAATATTAGCCCTAGGCAGAACGAGTTTGTTTATTTTTTCTGATACACCCCCCACTCCCCCGCAATTCGTATTTTTTCTTATAACTTCCGTAATTCTCGGAATTTTAAAATTTGGTAGGTACATCCAGTTAGTACTAATGTGTCCGTGTGCCAAATTTCATCATGATAGGTCAATTCTGAAGAAAGTTATAGCCATAAGTAAAATCGCTGCTCATGCGCTGCCTCTGTCGGCAGCGCTGCCCGCAGCTGTTGTTGTTGTTGCTGCTTTGGTTTAACTTTGTGCTGCATACATACACGCATATAAACACGCATAGGTACGTGATGTAAATGTATGCTGTTTAAACTGAACATAAACATGTATTCTAATTTAATTTAATTAATTATTTTAATTAATTAATTCATTCATTTTTTTTAATAATTTAATTTTTTTATTTTTCCTTTTTGTGGAGAGTACAGGCTATTTTACTGTCGGGCTTGCTCGACTGTAGCGTTCTCTCTTGTAATTAATTAATTCATTCATTTTTTTTAATAATTTATTTTTTTTTTTAAATTTGTTTTTTTTTTAATTTTTCCTTTTTGTGGAGAGTACAGGCTATTTTACTGTCGGGCTTGCTCGACTGTAGCGTTCTATCTTGTTTTATAATCTGTACATGAAATGTCAAATAGTAGTATATTAGGTTTGCGCGAACTGAAAAATGGAACAGGCAGAAGGAGGCGTGGCAGACCCCACAAAGTATATATATTTTGCACAAAGATGCGTTATGTGTGTACGCTGTGCAAGTTTGTTTTATTTTTTTGATTTTCCTCCCCACGGCAGCGCTGCCCGCAGCTGTTGTTGATGTTGCTGCTTTGGTTCAACTTTGTGTTGCATACATACACGCATAGGTACGTGATGTAAATGTATGCTGTTAAAACTGAACATAAACATGTATTCTAATTTAATTTCATTAATTAATTCATTTTTTTTAATAATTTAATTTGTTTTTTTACTTTTTTTTTTTTTAATTTTTCTTTTTTGTGGAGAGTACAGGCTATTTTACTGTCGGGCTTGCTCGACTGTAGCGTTCTATCTTGTTTTTCTCCGTCTGTATGAGCGCAAGGATCTCAGAAGGTACAAGAGCTAGAATTACCAAACTTGGTATCCAGGTACCCCTAAGCCCTAGGCAGGTCAAGTTTATTTTATTATTCTGATACTCCCGCCCCCCCCCCACTCCCCCGCAATTCGTTTTTTTTATAACTCCCGTAATTCTTGGAATTTTGAAAATTAGTAGGTACGTCCAGTTAGTGCTTATGTGTCCGTATGCCAAGCTTCATCATGTAAGGTCAATTATGAAGAAAGTTATAGCCATAAATAAAATCGCTGCCCATGCTCTGCTTGCACCGCTACCCGCAGCTGTTATTGTTGTTGCTTATATATACACGTATATAAACACATATACACGTATATAAGACAAGTGATATTTGAACATGTAATCTGATGAATATTTAGAAAAAAAGAAAATTATATTCTAAAAGAAAACATTTGTATGGAAGAAAATTCGAATAAACGAAGAAAATTTTGTCTTTTCTATTATTTTTTCCATCACTGTATATATACATATGTGTGTATGCTCATTTAAATGTTTTGCAGTTGCATAGGTTGACCAAATAACTTTGCCAAATCGTAGCTTTTAATTCTAGAAATTACTTGCCTTAATTTACATAAATATACATATGTATGCACACATAACATAGTAGTTATTGTACTTTATATATAGCTCGCGAATTGTATTAAAATAATTTGTTTTTTGGGAAATGAACTCTTTAGAAAGTGTCGGAAGAGAAATATCATATAGTAGCCAGGCTATAAGCCCGTGTTAGCTTATAGTTTTTACTTTAAGCTAGTTCCATAAAGAAATAAAAATACCACATTACTGGTATCACCTAAATCATGTCCAAAAAAATAATGTTCCTTCTATAAGAGAAACGACATAATAACTTACCTGGGGGTAATTCAGGTTAACATTCACGCGGCTTAACATTGCTAACACAAAAGCAGCTGTTTTACCGGTACCAGACTGACTTTGAGCAATCATGTTTTGGGGTGGATCAGCAAGAAGAGTTGGCAGTGCTGTTTCTTGAATTTTCGAAGGTGTATTAAAGCCCATTGCATAAATGCCTTTTAAAAGTTCCGGCTTCCTATTTAAACAGAAGTAAACAAGTATTGTTAATTTTAGTTTTTGATAATTTATACTGTACTTACAGGTGCAACGCTTCAAATGTTTTTACTGAATGTAATGGCGAACTTGGATTCTTCTGTTGAATATCCAGCGCCAATTTCGTATTTACTAAGCCTTTTCCCAATATCTTTATCAAAAGACTCGTTTCAGCTGGGCTTAAATATATAAAATCAACAAATTAGCATTCCTCCTGGGGTTCCTAATCAAACAAGTATTGACGCCATGCTCATATCAGAAACTCACCTAAATAACAAAAATTATGTTCACTTCAACGACTACAATTTCTATGCGACAAATCAGGCACAGGCTTAGATTCATCAATCGCCAATCCTACTTCACCTTTAGACCACTCACAATTCTCGGGACCCCACAACTTTTAATAAAAATGATAGGCTTAAATACTGGAGAAGGGTTCGGCGAGTGCTGCAAGCCTATGCATCACATCTCACTCACTCCTTCAAGGAGCGATTAAAAGTAGCCAGAAATCTACTACGCGAAGCCCAATCTGCCCCTCTATGATGGGCTAAGAATTTTTTCTTACAATTCTAAGTTTATTTACAATATGCTATTTCTTTTCTGATACTATCTAAAGTTTCTAAAAGAACTACCAATAGCAAATTACTTTCGTACGTTCCGACAGATAGGGCATATAGTGCAAAACAGGAGGGTGCATGAGAAAAAAACAACACATACTTGAGTTTGGTCATTCTAGCTTCTAGACAGACAAACATGGTTATATCAACTTGTCTTAGCATACTGACCAAGTAGAAGACTTTCACAACTGCTTCTGTGTGCTACATACATATGTACATTCACATCAAAATAGTAAGCATTTCCACCCTTTGGGGTAAGGTATTAAAATACATACATACATAGAAGTTCCGGAAGAATTCGTAGCAAAATGGTTCAATTTGTTTGCTCGAATACAAAGGGTATATTCCATTCTTGTTATTGGCAATTTAAATACTCAGTATCATTAAAAAGAGTATTTTAACCGCACCGAATCTAAAGCACCTATATACATACATACATATCTATGTACATATTCATTATTCTTCCACTAAGAAAAAAAAAGAATTCTTATTCAAATGAAATTTCCAATGCAGTTGTGAAATAATCATTTGCCGCACATATCTACCCATGTACATAAGAATATATGCATGTATGTATGGACATATGTATTTCACTTACTCAGCTACATCAGGCTCGTTGTCCCTCTCAGAGGCATTTTGAGCCTTTAAATCATTGGCCGGCGTATTTCCAGACGCGATTTGAAGTTTATCGACCTTTAAGGTAGTTGTTTTATTAATAGAAAACAAAAACATTGCGCTATTCTCAAACATTTACCAATTTTGAAACTTCTTGGTCTTCCGCAATTTTTACCCAATCCGTCATATTTTCGTAAGAATAAACTCGCACAAAAGATATTTGCTAAGCTTTCGCTTCCTTTTACTAGAGTGACCAAAGTTAAAAATTAAAAAAAAACTAAAGTTTAAGTGCCCTTCAATAAATCTCCTAAATTATTGACTTCAACATAGTAATATTCAAAACATTTTATATTAGTTGGATTTAGACTTGTTATCGGCTAAACCATTTTAATATCATCACAAAATTCAGTACAAGCTATAAGGGGTGCCACAGAAACACGAGTCCCCTACAGTTATTTTCTAAATTTCCAAAAAATTCGTCGCCAAAGAAACCACTAAAGGTTTCAATTTTTCGAACTTCCCCTCCAAGCCAGATGTGAAACACAGCTGTCTCTTGACTCTTACATTTGACTGACTAATTCTATACAAGTACTGAAGCGCACACAGCTGTCAGCAACAGCTGACTGTTGACAATTACATTTGACTGACTAATTGTATTTAAATCCTGTAACGTACTAAGTTAAATAAAAAAAAACCATGTATTAATATTAGCCCACTTTGGGGAAATAAAGAATTTCACTTATGTTGCTTATTAAAAATTAAATTTATTTGTAACATACAAACGAGATTTGAAACCTCCTAGAAGATTTCTGTGGAACAGAGTATTGGTTTTGAGGCAAAACTAGGGTTGTTTTTGAAATCTTAAAAAAAATCCCTCCATGCCACAGAACTTCGAGAGTTTTGATTTTGTCGAACTTACCCTTTAAGCCAGTTGTCAGCAACAACTGCCTGACTATAAAGTAGGCTAACAGACACGATATGTACAAAACTAAGCCAGGCAGTTCCGTATTTTAACCGATTTCAAAAAAGAGGAGGTTATCAATTCGTCTGTATTTTTTTTTTATATATTTTTTTTTTTATGTTTGTTACCTCGGTACACTCGACTGGGTGAACTGTTTTTAATGGTTCTTATACCATTTGAAAGCTGGTGGTTCCAGAATGGTCCCATATAAATTTAGTCCAGTTCTGACAATGGCATCCATGAGAAAACAGCATAAGTCTTAAATTTGTATTAAGTATGTGCAAGGCAAATGAACGAATAACTTTATATCACGCTAACCGATTTCAATGATTCTTGTTTTATTGGAAAGGATTTACTTCAAGGGTACTTTGATGAGAGTTTGGTTAGGTTCTGCAAACGAGGACGTTCTCAATTCGACTGTATTTTTCATTGTTACCTCAGAACTTTCGACTGTGTAAACCGATTTTGATGATTTCTTTTGTATTTGAAAGCTGATGTGGTCCCATTTCAATTTGGTGCAATTCTGACAATGGCATCCATGAGAAATCCATATAATTATTAAAACATACAAAATGTTCATGGGTTTAAGATATCATGCCAAGGCACCCGGTAGATGAGTGTCAAATTTAAATGAGATATCATGTGAAATAGAATTTCAATTTCAGTATAATGCCGTCGAAAAAATCTAACCGTAACAATGCGTGTAGCAAAAATACACCACCCCAGCGTTCTTAAAGCTCAAAAGTCAGAAGAACAAACTGCAACAAGAGCCGCAACTCAACAAATCAGAACAGTAGATATTCGCAGACGAGAGACAGACAGTGTGATGAACGTTTTCGACAAAATATATTGAGAACAAGAGTGGCGCTGTCTCATATGAGAAACACGTTTATTAGGTCTACCCATATTCATACACATTAGTTAGTGTACTTCACATTCACTAAAAATCCAAAAATAAACAATTTAAACAAAAAAAGAAACCGATTTCAAACTATTAACAGGCACTAAAAAGTAAAAAATAATTGCGTATTCTTCTACAACTTAATATTCAATATATAATGTAGATACAATTATTGTTATTTTTGGAGTCGGTGTTAGCCAAGGAAACACTACAATATATCAATCAATCAATCAATCTACCAGTAATAATATGAGAATACTTTAAGAAATACTTTTTTTTACAAATTAACTTTTATACGAACGACAATATACTGTGACAGATTACCAATACCTAATTAAACCCAATTTCAAATTAACTTTTATACGACAATACACGTATAACTACTGTGACAATATCTGCTACCTTGAAACAACAAATAAACCGGTACCTAGTTAAACGAATCAAACGAATTTTAATACGACACTATGCTGAGACATACGGGTAATCAAGGAAATGCTGATACGAAAATATAGTCAACATTAAACAAGGAATTACCGTAAGAATGACGAAGTAGATATAGAAAGAGAAAAGAATCTGAAATGGTTCGTAATGAAGGGCCTCTTTCGAGGTTGACACCGACTCCAGAAATAACAATAATTGTATCTACATTATATATTGAATACTAGCAGGTATTGCCCGTCTTAACCCGGCTCAATATAATGTTTCCAATTGTATTTATTTTGTTCGTGCATAACCTACCCATATGTTTTCACCTTATAAGTTACCAGTAGGAAGGCATTTAAGGTATTTAAATGAACATTTTCTGTTCTTGACAAAAAATTGTTCAGTAGTCCGTTACATTTTTGTTCTTGCCAAACTATTTCGTTAAACGAACATGACCACTATAACTAATATTTTTTAAAGCTCGATTTCCCCCTTTGGAGCTAGAATTTTCCAAAAAGCCTTTCTTAGTGTGTTCCTACACTATGATGGATACTATGAAAGGATACTTAAGTCCAAATTTCATCTTTTACCGTTTGGGCTGTGCGTTGATCACCAATTAGTCAGGACAAGCTGTTTTATATATAGAGATAACGCAACGTTTTAAGATAGACGATTTGCAAAAAAGGGAGAATAATTATAAGGGTATATCCTAATTTTAAATTCACATTTGAGACTTTTCGTGCCATATTGAGTCAATACGGTCACGCACAAACTCGGAATATGAAACACGGCACTCGTGTCAATGCCGTGCAGCGATGAGCCACGATCAAAAAGCACTGACAATTCTCATCTCAATTTGCTAGAGTAAAACTTTCGATAGTTGAAGCCACCGATACCATCAAAATATCGAAGTTTGAATGCAATAAGCAGAATATTTAAATAACAAAATCTAATTATTTATTGACATCAATAAGAACAAATCATATACATACATACATCTGCCCGCAATGCGAAGCAGAATATGCGTAGCTCCGTTATTCAGTTTCTGCTTTACTATCGCTTACGCAGTCGTTGCCTAGCGACGGTAACTGTAAACTTTTGGCGTTTTGCCTTTGCAATTAACATTAAATGGTCAAAACGAAAGAAGAAGAGCGAGCCAATGACTTGCAGTTGTTGTTGTTGTTTTGTATGTACATGCTACATACATATACAGGCATACATACATATGCTTGTATAGTACATATGTATGTATGCATGGGCACACATAGACACGAACTGTTGCTTGTTGTATGTATGTGTGAGTATGTGTATGTGTATGTGATGTCCCCAACTATTTGATATTTGATAAGTATATGGCAAGTAAAAAACATATTGCTATATTTTAATCGTTGAATGCCAATTTGTTGATATAGTTATGTTGATTACATTACCCAAATTTGAAATCGATCGGACAAAATTTATAACACAAACTATTCATTTGAAAAAGTGAATAAATATAAAAACCCCAATAATAAAATTAAATGCGATATATCGAAAATATCGATACTTGTGTTGATATATCGTAATACATGTCGAATACAAATACATCGAAAAACATCGTTGGAGAGTTATTGATTATAATGCTGTATTCGATTGTTCACTGTACACATACATACATACATACAAATGTATTTGTATGTGTACGGTAACTGTAAACTTTTGGCATTTTGCGTATGCAATTAACAGCCGTAAATGATCAAAACGAAAGAAGATTTGCGAGCCAATAACTTGTTGTTGTTGTTGTTTTAAAAATTTTGATTTGAAAACATAGAACACTATTTATTACAATTAAACAACAGTGTTCGTTGGCCCACTGCATACACACAAACCTATATATGTATATAAGAATGTATGTACGTACATACATACTTATTGATGTACATATGTACATACTATACATACAGACGTATGTATATATGTATGTACGTATGTAATACATATGGTGCTGGTGTAATTCATAATGCGAAATTCTTTCTAAGGGGAGCAATGTCCCCCCTGCCCAACCTGCGTACGCCCTTGTAGTCCGTTGTCCTAAAATCCCTTATGCCAAATGTACTAAACAAAGAAAAAATAACATAAAAATGTTTATGTTATAATGTTAATAATTTTTAATTAATTAACATTTCTTGCCCTGTCAGTGCAAGACGAATGTACTTTTATACATATGTATGTATGTATGTACATACATGTGTACAAATTAACATTCACACATTAGTGTCTCACATTTTGCTTTGGCTACTTCAACCGTTTGCACGCAACTACACGAACAGCTGCATGTATGTATGTATGTATGTTTGTGTGTGTGTATGTATACTTAGTTGTCCCCAACTGTTTGATATTTTGTATTGTTTGTTCTGCCTGCATTTGTAAAATGCATATTTTAAAGATCGTTAGATGCAAAGTTGTAATTTTAGTTACGTAGATTATATTACCCAAATTTGAAATCGATCTGACAAAATTTATAACACAAACTTTTCATTTGAAAAAATTAATAAATATTAAAACCCCAATAATTCAAGCTCCAACACAAATTTCGAAAAACCGAGTATGCAGTTTTGTTTGTATTCTTTTATAGATTAAAACCAAATTTAAAGTTGATCGATTCAGAAATGCAGAATTTTCAAAAAAAAATTGGAGCTACTTTTCCCCCCTTTGGAGATCGAATTTTCCAAAATCCCTTCTTAGTGCGCATCTACACCATTATAGGATACTTGAGCCCAAATTTCAGTTTCCTAGCTTTTACCGTTTGGGCTGTGGGGTGTTGATTGTGTTTCAATTTTTCCACGGAAAACCCCCCCTTTTTCATGCCCCAGGAAAAATGGTGAAAAACCAAGTATACAGTTTTTCTTTTTGAGAGTATACAAACTAAGTTTGAAGTTAATTGGATGAAAATTGTAGATTTTTCATACAAACGTTGGAGCCCGTTTTCCCCCCTTTGGCGTTCGAAT